CAACTTCCAAAGAAGTGATGCATACAAGTACTAACGTTTCGTACAGTTGAAGGGTGACAGGCACTGGCATGCCTGCGCCCGACAACACAATTCAGCTTCTGTTTGCAAGTTTATACAATTCTACTGGATTTCAATTGCAGTTCTGGATTGCTCAAGGTGCAACCAAGTTTTACATATACGTTCATTCGATGGCACCTGAAGTGAATGCATTATTGCGGGTTTATGAGAAATCTGCCGAAGTGGATGTCGAGCGTATCAACTGGGCCCCGCTGCCAACGGCAGGTGAAATTATGGACGATAGCGATCCCAATTTAAGGATTTATAGGACAGAGGTATTGCTTCAATTTTTATTTTGCTTGCCTACTTGGACTCACCAGGTGGCCCCGCCGTGCTTCGACAGTGCCTACTGTTTTGCCATTCCCAGGTCGCGACGGTGTGCCGGGCTGCAATCTTGTGGGTGACTCAATTATGCACATTTTTATGCGCCCTCACATTTTTACACAAATGCAGGCTTACGTATTGACAGGACTTTGTCAGTGTGTAGGCTGTGTATATGTGTGTTTGGACTTTTGTCATCTCCATTCAGTTGAGCAGCGGTAAAAGCTAGGAAGCTGAAATTTTACAGGGCTGTTCTTAACTCTTGCGCCTTCCAAGTAGTTCAAAATCAACATTTATGGATGTCCGAATGAATTTGATAATTCCACTTTTGTTTCTATTCAATTTCCCAATCATTTTAGGGCTATTGGAAAATTGTGAAAAAAGAAAAGCTGCATTCTTAAAATACAGTACCGGATATCGTATAAATAAGATTCATGTTGCGCTTCAGCAAGCTAATCCAAAGCATTCTCCAATGTCCATCATTCCAGGTTGTTACCTCGATCAACGACTGCATATTGCGAAGTCGTAGCCATACAAAATATTTGGTCTCGGCAGATCTCGATGAAATCATTGTTGCTCGCAAGGAGGCTTCGTTGCTCAAAATGCTTGACAAAGAACAAAAGCTTTCAAATAAATCAAGAGGATTTATAATTCGCAGCAGTTACGCGCTCTACGAGGTTTACTCTCGCCCGTTCAAATGCTTTTACAGCTATTTTTGACTGATGAGCACAGTGCTAAAATAATCATATCGTAGAGTCTTTTCCATTATCTGTTCTGTATGAGAAATTGATTCACTTTGAAGTGTCCCGAATGGTTGCACGAGATTATCCAGTTGGGGTGTTCAGTGTGTTCTAGAATGTCCCAGAATATTTTGTCTGCCTGAGAACGATATTTATAAAGCGATATTTACATGGAAATGTGGCAAAAAAAATCCTTTGGAGTGAGGAGGAGGAAGAGGAGAAAGGAGAGTTTAGTACTAATGGATTATCGCAGCTAATACTGGGACTTGGAATTTTGCCATCGAAATGAATAAAAGAACTGTACAGGAACAAAGATTCTCACTGGCTAAATAAAGCGAATAACTTTAAACCTGATAACAGCACTGCACATCACCATATGTTGAAATTGTGATCAGCAAATTGACAAAAAGTGATAGTTTATTTCTATACGTGAATCCGTATTGATGTATACATAGAATGATGATGATGAAGCTTTCAATTCAGTTTTCAGAACAACTGGGCTAACGTAACAAATCCATCCGATATTGATTTTAGCAATTTTGCAAATATATCGCTCGAAAGTTATGTTTGGAGCGTCGGATCCCGAAGTAAAGTAAGCCAAAAATTTGCCAGTTTTACGTTAAAAATATTCCAGATGCTGCTTTGACTTCTGCAGATAGGTCGAAGTAACAATTATTTTTTCTTTTCAATAATTATATCTATTTGATGTAGATGAAGAAATGCATGTTGTAGAAAAAGTGAAAAAGCGAGAAAGTAAAAAAAAATTTAAAAGCGCAATACTCACTTTTTCACGAAAAAGT